CCTGGACCAAGCGGTAGTTACCAGAGGGCTTATGGGCCGGAAGGATGGGGGTATTCCATGGAGAGTTAACAGGTATGAGGAGGCCATGAGAAAGCAAGCGAGTGATGATGGGTTTAAGACCCTTACGGTGTGTGGCTGAAATGGGGAACTGGGGTCTAGAAGGGAAGTGAGAGGGGTTTTTCAAAACTATGCGAACCCGGGTGTGGTGCTGGGCTATGACTGGGGTGGAAATGTTTTGCATATCGGGGTTGACTACGTGGGGTAGGAAGGGAGGCGGCAGGTCTGAATTGGGAAAAACAGAGATTAGAGCAATATTGGCAAGGAGTGGGGCCACCGGTTGAACCGGCAGCGTTAAAGTGGCCCCTAGTTTTGAGAGGATATCCCTGCCAAGCAACGGAACGGGGCAGGACAGGACAATAAGGAAGGAGTGATTAAACATCCAATCACTTAGAGAACAAGGTAAGGGTGAAGTTTGGTGGGGGACAGAAGATTGGCCGTTGATACCCACGACTGAGACCTGGGAAGGAGATAGAGGCCCCGAAAAGGAAGGCAGAACCGAATAGGCAGCCCCCGTGTTCACGAGGAACGAGATTGACTTGTCCACTACCTGGAGCAAGACCCTGGGCTTGGCGAGGGTAATTGGGGTCCTTGAGTCCGGGCATCCTCAGCTTTCCGCCAGTCTGAGCAGCTCATGGAGCGGAGCAGGTGGCTCAGCTACACCCACGTGTGGAGGCACTGGGGTTCGGCCAGACCAAGTGCTTACAGATAGGACATGGCTTACTCGGGGGATGTGGGTTAGGGCACTGCTTGGCCCAGTGGCCCTCCTGGCCACACTTGAAACAGGTTTCCAGGGGAACTTTGTTACTCGTCTCTGGACGTCGAGAGACCCCCTTACCCTGTTGCATTGGCCGCAGGACTGCAACCAGGGCATGGGCTTGCACTTTAGCAGCCTCCTGGAGGCACTGCTGCCTAGCGGTTTCTGCATATTTCTTTCGGGCATTAAAAACCTTAAAGGCCATGTTTACCAGGTTACGGACAGGGGTCTGAGGGCCATTTTTTGCCTTTTTAGCTTTCTGTGACTATCGGGCAGATTGGGTAATGAAATGGGTAGCGAGAATGGTAGGATGTGTACCCGAACAAAGCCATCCAGGCCAGCAACCTCTCGGAGAGGACAAATGGGCGCAGGAACAAGAGGGTGGGGAGTGTGGTGCATGCAGTGTGAACGAGTATGTGTACTAACCGGAGAGGGGAGGGAGAGTGGCGGAAGGGGAGAGTCGGAAGGTGAAGGAGGAAGATGGGAGTAGAGAGAGGGTGGATTGTATGGGGGCGGTTTGGAAGGAGGAGGAGGATTTGGAGGACAAAGGATTGGCGCAGTTAAGTTTTTCAGAAGACTTATGAGGGGGGAAGACTACGGATCGGGTGGTAGAGGCTTGTCATATTTGGGTGGAGGGACTGGGGCAGATGAACGAGTGAGGGGTCGGGAACAGAGGACAGGGAAGGGGCGGGAATCTCCCTTTACCAGCAAGATTTGGGTTGTGGAACAATACTGGCAGGGAGAGACGGGAGCACAGGAGCCAGAAGGCCTGAACATAGGGAATCTCCGACCATTTTTTATTGCGTTTGCAGGAATTATTTAAGTCAGTGAGGATGTTAAAATTAAAAGTTCCCTTGAGGGGCCACTTGGATCCATTTTCCAGTCTATACTGAGGCCTGGTCACAGTACAGAAATGGATTAGACATTTGCGTCGAATGTCCGGGGTTAATCCCAATTTGTCGAGATTACTGAGAAGACAGCCCAGAGGTGTCTTAGAATTAGATTTGAAGGCTTGATTACCCATGTCGATCTAAATTTCCGGTGCCTGTCTGAGTCTGAAAAGGCATCCCAATTCAGGTAAAGACCGGCCGGGCAGAGTGAAGGTCAGGATAAACAGGGTGCCCCCAGGATTTATCTCTGACC